CAACTTACATCAAAGCAACCAAGTACAATGGTCGCACCTAGAAGGGATAATTGTTTGCTTTACTTCTTTATTTACTGTTCTATAATTTAAGAAAAATAAGTTTAAGAACTTATTTCTAAATAGTAATAATCTATATACATATACATAATGTATAATAATAAAAATGTGACTGTATTTTACAAAATACTAGACTACTAAAATGAAGCCAAAAACAGGTCACTTTGTAAAGGCTAAAGTTAGCTTTTTAGTCTAAACACTTATGTTTTTTGTGTTATAATCTGTTGTCATTCTAGAACGAAAGAGGTATAATTTATATTAATTTCTTACTTTTTATGGTGGTTATAAGATCAGTCAAATCTACCTAACCCATAAATTATAAAAATTTCTCATGTGAGATTTGAAAATTTTCTGATGCATAAAAGTATCTTTAATCTTAAAATTAAAATTGATTTGCATGTTGGATATGCAAAATGTAAAAAGAAAAAAAAAGGTATGAGAAAAACACTGCTTAACAAACCTTAAGACTTGATAAAAAAATTGATACTTTGTGTATGAAAGCATTGTAATGTTTACTGATAATCTGCCAAAATTTGTTAACATACACTTACTAATTTAAAAGTTACAGCATGAAAACTATAACAAGCACAAAATGGTTACAAGGTCGGTCACAGGAACTGAGCCCATGCTGAAAGAGTTAAGCTCAGACTTACAAAATGGAATATTTGTTATGTGTCCACTATATGGTTCAAATGCCAAAATCTAGTATTATATACCCTCAAGCTTAACACTTAACCACTGAGTAGCTTTTTAACATTTGAATGTTAACACCAAGTGTTAATAATTTCAAGTTAATGCCAGAGATTTGAAAGTAGTTGGAAAGAATGAAGCTTAAACTACTGTTATAACACCAGATGGTGCAAATAAAAGTATTTATTGTACACATATGAAGAAGATTACTTAACAAACCAAAAATTAGAATATTGTACTTGCATGGTGTTCTTGTAATGTAATTATGTTTCAAAATCTTTCTTAAACTAAATTTTGTTGAAATCATTATATAACCTGTAGTAACTGATCAGCAATGTTATCATTTTCTTACACTGAAAACAATTTCCAATAGATACTTACCTCTTCTTACACAATAGCTTTTCTTGATCTTCTTCTGCTCTCTAATGCACTGAAAAGAAAGAAATTTTATTGCTTGACGCACTAGCCTTTAAACCCCTTAGTTCAAACTGCTCACTTAGCATACCTACCACATGCAACAACCCTCCACTAATAGGAGCATGACACACACTCCCAGAGCGGCTGACTCCCTGTGTACTACATTATGTGTACCTCACTTTTGAGATTAGGCACATCAGAAAACATAAGAACGCTGGAAGAGGAGAGGAAGGGTGGGAAGTGTGTGAGAGGGAGTAAGTATCTATCAGAAATCTATTTTCTGTGTAAGAAAATGATAACTTCTGATACAATACATACCTCCTCTCACACAACAGCTAGGATCCCACATTGAACAGATGGGGAGACTGGTTTAACCTGGAAAACAGGAGATCTAAAATGTAAAGTGACAGTAGAGAGTCCAAAAAAGTGTACACGTGAATCGAAAAAAAAAGCACACATGAGGGGGACCACATCACTTCTGGAACAGGTATGCCCTTCACCCTTGAAGAAGTGAAGTGTTGTGAAACAGGCAGCATCAAGGACCAAATTGCTAATGAAAGGTCCCAGAAAACATTGGAATAGAACTCTCCCCAACCCCAACCATACAGATGAGGTCCCACACCCTGTCCTCTGTATTACAAGGCAGAGGACAGAGCTAAAGAAGCAAAAAAAGTATATACAATGGAGTAAGGCCAGGGCGAGTGGACCGTGAACAATATATACAAAAAACCCAACTGCAAGTAAACAGAGTGTTATGCTGCAAGCAACCGGAATTACAATGAGGAAGTATGCCATACCAAACCTGGAATTACGGGGTGATGTCCGATTGTCAACTCAACTATACAAACAGGGAATCATCCTGTAGCCAGTATTACGAGCAGGAAAAGAACAAGACTTGCTCAACCTAAGAGCTGGGAAGAAACCACATGCACCTGGTATTACAAGTACGATGTGGAATGTCTACTCACCTGTAGGAACAGGGTATCATACAGCCTGCAACCAGCATTATGAGGCAAATGAAGTTCCCAAGCTCAACCATAGGAGCTGGGAAAAGAAACATCCTGCAAACAGAATTATCAACAGGGGACATCTACTGGTCTCAACCATAGAAACAGGTTGCTATCAACCTGAACCCGTATTATGGGGAAAATCCAGCAGTGGTTGGTCCACCTCCTTCTCACATCAGATGTCTGGGAACAGTATCCCAGGAGGGAAAAGTAGTGAGGGTACCCAGCTTCGTCCTGTTCTCAGTCGAGAGTAGGAATATGTAATATAACAACCTTATGCTACACTCCAGAAGAAGCCTCCATGGTCCATCACCCCAGTGGTTAGAAACTGGAAAGTGGCAAGAACTCCCAAACTCCACTAGAGAATGGGAGGGGTCAAAGGGTGGTAGAAAGTCTGGAGGAAGAACACACTGGAAAAAAGTGCAATAGGTGACCATGAAACCTTGTTTTGAAAAGCAGACCACTCCCAACTTATTCAATCAAGGGAGCTGCAAGGATGGGCAGCAATCCCCTTCTGCTTTACTCATGATCGTTCCTGAGTGACGATCCACCAAATATGGTATAGAACATGACATAGAAATATAAGTATGTATACCACTAGGTAAGCTGCCAGAGGTCTTGCGGAACACCCCATCTCAACATTGTGTGTTACAACAGTAAAGGTAACAGGTGCAGGTTGAAGTAAGGTATACCTGACCAGGCAACTTTCGTCACTGAGCAGGATACAAATATGTAGTGAAGAAAAAAGGAGAGGCTCCTGTAAGAAAAATAGCTGAAAGAAATACACTTACCCAAGTCAAAGTCAAACTGGAGCACGGAGAATAATCACAAGAGAGAGAAGATATCCACCAGAGAAGGATACATCCAGGTGGTGCAAGTTCTGAAAGACAAAAGTATGAGTAGTAATCCACATTCTCAGACAATCTCCTCCAGAGAATGACGAAAATGAGCCACCAGAGACGTGGTGACATGTCAAATCTGATTAGAGCACACACTATAAGGAAGGCACCCTTCAGATGAAAGGGAAGAGTAAGCCAACCGATTAAGCTGACAAACCCAACCCGTTAGGGTAACGGGTGAAGGATCATAAGACACAGAAGGATTCAAGGGAAGAAACAAACAGGAACCATGAAAAGAAGATGTACGAACAACAAAGCACTGTAAAACCCTCACAGGACACAGGAGGCGATCAGGATCTGATCTGTAATAAAGATGGGAAATGGAAGAGATGGTGGTGGGAGTTAAAGCAGATTCACCTTCCTGGGCAGCAGAGGTTTTGGGAAGGGAGGAATGGTCTGGATAGAGCACAATATAGGCACTGTAATGAAATGAGAGAAGCAACACACTGTGTCAGGCCCACTTGTCTTGCAAGGGACTTCACAAAAGCCATGTGTGAAGCTGGAGGGTTGGAGTGATGGGATGAAAGAATCCAAATGAGGTTGACAAAGGAGCAATAGAGACATAGGTACGGGCAGAGGTGATGAGATCTGAGATCTAAAGACATTCAAGAAGAGAGAACAAACATTGATCTGGCCAATACAGAGCCACCAAAAGAATCTGACAAAGAGTGGTGTGGATGAGGGAGATAACTCTGGGGATGAGACATATAGGAGAGAAGGCATAAATGTGGAGCGACTCTCAAAGCCTAAAGATGAGGAACTGGAGACTAGAAGATGGCAGTTTGGTGTTGAGATGAGTGGCAAACACATTGATGTGTGGTATACCCAGATGAGAACACTACTATCAGAAAACCTGAGAATCCAGGGACCACTCCATGGGAAGGTTTTGTGTGGATGTGACAACCAATCTGCCATCAGATTCAATGCACCCGGGATATGGCAAACTAATAACTGTATCTGGTGTTCGTGGGACCAGAATAAGAGTTCCACCATCAAAAAACAAAAGAATCTGGATTTAGTACCTCTTTACTTGGGGATGTAGGAGACCACCATAACCACCCTCCCCTGTAGAAGATGGAGGAAATGAGAAATGGCCCGATGAACTGCCAAGAGCTCCAGAAGATGGACATGAAGCCCAGATACAGCCAAAATCCAAGTCCCAGAAATCTCCTGTGCATTGAGAGAAGCACCCCAATACACATGAGAAGCAGCTGTGAAAAGATACAGATCTGAGTGCTTTCAAGGAAGCCCACATCCCAAAAAGAGGTAGAACCTCTTGAGCTGGCAATCAACAGCTACACATTCCGAAGACAAAATGGAGAAGGCTGGGCCCAACTGAGATGGGAATTTAAGAAAATCTCCAAACTAACCAAATACTGGGTAGGTGAAATAACGAACTTCTCCACCTTGCTTAACTAACTCATCTGTGCTGCCTCTTCAAGGAGGAAACTAGTGTAGATGAAAGAAGCCAAATTGGAAGGAGTCAGAAGAAGCCAGTCAATCATATATTGATGAGTCCAGTGTTCCACCAAATGGAGATATCGACCAATGCCCTAACTACTCGACAAAACATGTAAGGAGCTGAGGCAAGCCCAAACAAAAGAGCCTGGAACTGAAACACGAACTTAAGAAAATGACATGAGGAGAGAGATATGGGCACATGAAGATATGCAACCACCATGTCAAACTTGGTCATCCACAGACCTGGAGTGAAAACCCAACAAAGGAACAGAAAAGACTCTATGAAGAAACTATGGGATCCAGAAACTGATTGAGATGGGAAAGGTCAATGTCAGGTCTCCAATCCCCAGTTTTCTTGGGGACAACAAAACGTTGAGAGTAAAAATACAGTCAAAGTGGAACCATGAGCTCTATAGTTTCCTTGAGAAGCTCTCTCACAGCCTTGGACAGAAAAAGACAGGAAACTAGACCTCATGGGGGAGGGAAAGGAATGGGAGACGAAGAAAGGGGAGGAGGAGACCAGAAGCAAAGAGAGAGAGACCCTCTGTTAAAACCTGTATAACCCACTGATCCGTAGAGAAGATCTCCTAAACGTCCATAAAAAGTGGAACATGGCCCCAACAGGACCTGATGCCACTAGGCAGTCACCAATAATGCTGCCAATGTTTGTGATGGGTACGGGAAAAACGAGGATAAGGGCTAGAACAACGAGTCATTGGTAAAAGATGAGGTATGGTCTTGGGAGGACGAGAGACAACAATAGGATCAAAAGAAGAGGAGAAGGAAGGTTTGGATAAATAATTGGCCAGGGAAGACAGGAAATTATGCAACCTGGAAACATCCACCTGCGACTCCAGAGAATTGAGGCTACCCCCAAATACAATGCCACATAATATGGAGCAGCCCATAATTCCCTGAGGGAAGATGGGAAGGTAAACCCCCACAAGCAGCGTGTCCCTCCCCAAGAAGTCCCAACAAAAAGTAGCAAGGTAAGCAGGAAAAGGGCAAACGATGACAGCCTTGCCAAAATCGACCACAAATGTGACCCAAGTTCCTCCCGACAAATCGTTGGGAGAACGACAACAGGTTTTGGACCAAAGGTGCATAGAGAAGAGGTAATGTAAAATATTAGTAAGGGTGATATGAATCTGGGAAAACTGAGCTTGTGAAAAAGAGATTGAAGGCTCAGGATTACAGCTCCAAAGAGGTAAAAGCTGACTTAACCACTGAGAATTCAAATAAGGACTGGCAGAGTGATGAAAAGCCAAAGCATAGTGTTCTTAAACACAAGAGGGGTCGAAGCATACTAACCCTCAAAATAAGCTGGCACAAAAATCGATGAACATGAATCTCTATGTCAGGGGAAGAAGGAAACACCAAGTAATCAAAGGTAGAGTGCTCACACAAAAGGGAAGCATCATAGGAAGCAGGAGAAACATGCAAAATATGGCAAACCAGTGTAATCAACTGCAGGAAAGGAGTGGAAGGGCGAACTTCTTCCAAATGTGCTTGAAATGATGGCACAGCAAACATAGTCTTCCTGCACATTCTCATCAGCAGGAATGGGTGCTGATCTACGTGGAGGAGGATACGAACCAAATCCCATGGAGGAAGCTAATTCTTGACAAACTAAGGTTTGCACCTCTTTGGCCGATAGCATCGATCCTTTGGCTTGGGTGATGGGAAGAAGCATGTCTACAGAAAGGGGCAGGAGCCATAGTGGTAGTCACATTAAGTTGTGAATTTCTAATTCGCACTAATCAAGAAAAAAGAAAATAATAATAATATGTGCATGTATGAAACCAAATATGAATCACACAATGTATGAAAAATCAATAGCAAGTGAGAAACATGTCCAATTCTCAGCATGCCAATTTGAGACAGTGAGGTATACATAATGAAATACAGAGGGAGGCAGCTGCTCTGGGAGTGTGTGTGCTCCTATTGGTGGAGGGTTGTCGCACGTGCTATGCATGTTAGCTGAGCAGCACGAACTGAGGGATATAAAGGCTAGTGCATCAAGTGAGAAAATTTCTTTTCAATTCATTAAAGGGCAGAAGAAGATCGAAAAAAGCTATTGTGTGAGAAGATATTGGTATGAAATTGGAAAATTGTTTTCTCTATTAATTAGTTTCATAGCTTGGTCTTTTTAATCTGTAAAATCTTTTAATTCAGTTTTCTAAAGATTTTTTCCAACCTGTAGCTTAAAGACTTTAATTTTCATTAATTAAAACTACTGTAAGCCTTCAGTAAACTGTGTAGTCTATCTTATAAACAGAAAGTTTCCAATAGTACATACTAAACATTATTACATATATAGCCTAGATATGTAGTTTTTGATTACCTAGTAATAGTAACCTCTCTCTTACCTTCGAGATAAACACACTAGACTTTGACGGTGACGAGAGCGACGACGGATAGCACCGGTAAGTACTTTGATCGACTCAAAGTGATTTATTATAGCAGTACGTAGCTCTGGACTTTCCTCTTCTGTCATCTGCATGATGGTAAGTAGAAAAAAAGGAACATAATTAAAACAAAAAATTTTAGTATTATTATCATTACCAATAGTATTATCATGTTTATTTTTAAATCAGAATTCTATCTCAATGTTTATCTTTAGAAGTGCAAGTGGATGATAGACATTAAATTGTTTATTATAAGATCTTAACAAAACTGGAAGAAATACAAGTTTTCATTTTTATTAGCAGAGTTCAAAGGCTGACATACTTCCATCCAAAAATGACATATATAATATAAACATTACTGTAAAGTATGAGCAATTCAGTTACTTACAACATGACTAAAAGATATGCAATATAAACATCTAAAATGAGTTGTTAGTAAAACAAAAAACGTTGAGAACTTGGAAACTTTCTCTTTAAGTTTTGTATAATATAAAACCAAAAGAAGACTTACAATGGACCTTATGTAAACTAGTTTTCCACACAAGATGAAGTAAAAATCAGAACATTAAAAAGATGTATAATAACAGCAACAACACTGCACAATGAAAACATTAAAAACGAAATTCAAAACATAAGAGAATGTTTCAAAACAAAAGATGAGTACACTCTAAGCATAATTGGTGAATTAAACAACAAACCAAGCAAAAATGAAAACATACAAGAACTACAAGAGAACTGAACAAAACATCCAAGAAGAGCAACAGAAGAAACTTATTTATGGATAAATACCATTTTTAGGTGTTATCAGTGAAAATTTAATTTTATTACTGTATAAATTAGGCAAAAAATCACAAATTAAACGTAAAAACTAAAATTGTAAGAAAACCAGGAACTAACATTAAAAGTTGTTTACTAAAGTTATATAATAATGAAAAATATGGCAATGGCACAGTGTATAAAATAGAATGTTTACACTGCAAAGGTTTCTGTATAGAAGAAACAGGTAGGAAAATAGACTAAATGCAAGGAAAATGAAAAATAAAGAGTCAAACGTAAATGAACATGTTGAAAAACAACACAAAATTAACTTTAAAAATATTAAAGTATTAAATATAGAAGAAAAAAAAACCAAACAAAAGAAAATAATCTGGAAGCACTAAGAATCAAAGAATTAAAACCTAAGATTAATAAAACATCAGAAGCACCATTATATTTGTTATTATATAAGTTAATTACATTTAAAATCAGAGGAAGCTAGTATTACCAATTACTTAATAGAATGTACTTGCAATTTGAATGTACTTGTACCTTGAATGTTGTACATGATCACGTCTCATTGTTACATACGAAATGTTGTACAGAAATAAATGTATTATCCCACAAATTGCTGTTTTAAAACTTCATATTTTTTGTAAGTTAAGTGAGTACCTCTTAAAAAGCAAGTAGTTCATGAACATATTATCTCACAACTATATATGTTACCATAGTTTAGGATAGAATCAATACTTACCAGAACTTCACAATCTTTGAGTGCATCATATCCATCTCTTCCTTGAGCCAGATAGCTCTTTGTCACTAGCTTGTATTTCTGGAACAAACAATGTAATAAAATCAACATTGACTAATTCACATCATCTACATATACACAGTTGCTGCAAATCTTTAAGTATTAACATTTTCAAACAAACCGAGAGTACTCAAATATAAGGATTATTTGTTTAATCAATCTTCAAGTGTTTAATGACTCAGCTGATACGAAAGTGTTAAGTTTACAATAGCTAACAGTTCCATAGATCTTTACGTGTTTGTTAGTTCTGTTCAGATAATTGTGCATATGTTTTGTTTTTTAAGAAACCATTAAAAAAGCTTATCTTTTGTTTTTAGATTTGAATTACTTATCTCTATGTCTTCCTATTTCTTCTAAAATGTTCCAATAGTTTTTGTTTTATAAAACAGTAAATGTTATCTTTATTTTGATCCCAAAACACTACATACAACTTCACTGTGTTTATGACCATTGGCATACAATAAAAATAATTGTTTCTGTTGTTAACTGGAAAGTTTCTTTTAATATATGTGAAAAATTTTTAAATTGTTTTATATATATATTTTACTTTTTTTTTTTCAATTGAGATTTAGCTGCCTACCAGACTATTCATAAAGGTCACAGTTTTCAACCCAACATTCTTATCAAATTAGTTACTCCTGAAATAATCACCTGACCAAGCTTCAAAAACTCATCTCCAATTTTTATATACTTGGGGTCAATTCTACTTCCAGGACTTTTCCTTGGATCAAAAGCAAAACTGACACCGGCAACTTGAGGGAATCTCCCTTCTAGCTTGGGATACTGAGATACAGAATTCTCTAAAGCTTTCCATATTTGTTCACCTGGTGGTAGAGAAAAAATAAAACAAAAAAGTGACATTGGTATTTCTTTGTTATTAGTAAAAACTTTAATTTTGTTTAGTCCTTAGTATTTCAGTACAGTAGATAAATATTTCTTCGAACAAGGGTTAGCCCAGTTCTAGTGCTTTGTGACAAATACTGTTCAACAGGTTTGTTACTAAATTGGCTGACTATTTAAATACACTGTTAATTATTTTTTGTGTCTTGATTTATCATGTATAAGATGGTTGGTTATGACCAGTATGAATGGCAGGGATGGCACTATCAGAGAAAGTCCCCCTAAAATGTCATTGGGCTTCCAAGCCAACATCATCCATTAACCTAATTTTAAATTTATTTTAGATTTGACCCCATTACATATCTCATTGCCACCCCCACCCCCAAGTTAAAAAAAGACTGGAGCTGGGACTGCTGAATGATGCCTTTTTAGTACATTCATACCTATTATAGATATTAGAATTATGTCGAACTTGTATATCTAAAGAAATGGAAAACATATAGAAAAAAATCTATTATTAATGAGCACCTCTACCTGACACGATCCAAAATGAATTAACTCCCTGTAATATTAAAAACCATAAAAACAAATTTGACACCAGTGATTACCTGTAGCATTAACAACGATAAGGGGATCCAGCATGGGCAACATTGTCACTAAGTCTCTCATCGTGAAAGCCCCTGCTGGATGAACCCTATCTAAACGCAAGGTTCCAGAGTTAAGAATTGCCAGATCAGAGTGAGTTGAGGACAACATTGTGTCACAAATAAAATTACCTGAAAAACAAGAAGAAAGAACCATCTATTAATAGGTACACACTATACAATAGTGTAATCACCTGTTTCTGTTGAACATTGTTTTTTAGCAAATTAAACAACTAATAACAAATATTTTGGTCGAGATAAATCACTAATTATTAGGATGAAATATAGGAACTAAGAAAAAAGATATGGTGATAAAAATGTTGATTGACATGATAATATTTCAATTGAAACTAAATATAATGAAGGTAGCTAGGATTATTATCATTTATCAAATAAATTCAGAATTCTAAAAAATTATGAAGTTACAAAAATCAACTCAGCAGGGTACCCTTTTTTGAAATTTTGGAATTGAGTTAAATCAAGTAAATCCTGATGAAATCAAGTCAGATCTGAAACAGTACCATTCAGATCTAAAAGTCCAGGCAGGATTTCACATCTTAGTTAAATCATGTCAGATCTGAAACAACATCCAAGTCAAAAGGTTTTGATTTCACATCTGAGTTAACTTGAATCAGATCTGGGAACAGCACTGATCCAGATCTGAAAGTCCTGATTTCAAAACAAGTCTTTATAAGTTACAGTAAAGAACACAACCTTTTTTAAGCACTTTAAGTTTGTATTACAGAAAACAGAAGCTAACTAGACTATCAAAAGAAAGACTATTACAGATAATGTTTAAAAGCTTCATATATGAGTTTACCTTATTTTATTTTATATATATATATTATAAACCTTTTCAACTTACCTAGATTTGTCTCTTTTGTTCGAACACTGGTAAAGCGGCCATCCAAATCAACAGTAAAATGGCCAAGAAGTGTGTCCATCTTTCCTTCTACAACATCTGTATAATAAAGACAAAGTGCCTCAGTATAGCCTAGGCATACACACAAAATTAAGTAGAAGAGATGAAAGAAAAATACTCGAAACTTTCTATAAAGGTTACATCCATAATGTCTGAACAAAACTTGCATCCAAGTTTTCAAACAAAATTTAAGAGCATTACCAGAAACTAATAAAACTTAAATCTTAGATTAACAGCTGGATGAATTAGACCCACCTCACTGCAAATGATACAGAATCACATTAATCTCGTAGTAAATACACTATTTATTGTTTTAAAGGACTCAATCTCAAGTGTAGACCATAATCAATTAGTTTCAAAACTACTGACTGGTCAATTAAAAAAAATCATATCACCATATTCATACCAGTACTCACCTCACAGAAAAATTCACAGACTTAACAGCTTGAATATAATAAATATACTATTTTAATATCTAAAAAAACATTTTTCAGTTTTTAAGTGACTAATGAAGTTTTCCTTGCATACGGACTCAAAATAGAAATCAGAAAGTACATATTCAAATGAGAACAAATTGATTAACATTTTGGGTAACAAAGATATATTGCTATATATGTTTCTTGCTTTGACTTAGCAGTTTCAAATATTATACATAATGAAAAAAACTTGTTCTGATCATAAGTAAGCATTTTCAGAGAAAGAATGACAATGACTAAGCAAAGAAAAAATTGTTCTAACAGAAACAAGAAAGTTAGGTTTTACTACAGTATAAGTGATCACTATCGTGAATCATTGATAGGGATTGAAAAAAAGTAGTCAAAATGAGATGTTGTAAGAAAATAGTACATCATCATACAGTGAGATTTCTTGTATGTTAACCAAATGTAGGTTTGTAACAATTCTTCATGAAAGTAATTAGACTTAGCTTGCTGTATAAGAAATTGAACTAAAACCTTGAAACAGTACACAAAATTGTCTGGAACTTACCAAAATCGTTGGACTTGAAAACTAGATAAAACAATGCCCGATATGTAGCCAATCAGAGTTAACGGTTAAACTCTTTGAAATTTTTATATTTGTTAATCAAAACATACATTCATATTAACAGAAGAGATGAATCAATAGCTTCAAAATAATATTACAACTGTTCCTTTCTTTATAGCTACATTAAACATCTTTAAACAAAGTTAGTGCTAAGTGTATGTTTTCATGTACTGTTTGAATATAAAACAGTTTTTAGATAATTACTTATCACAATTTTTCCATTAATACCCATTCTGCAAGTCAATGAGACCAAATTCAAAGGATTGAGTGGGCTACTACAGAGGGGGTGACAGTTTCCGATATTTAAATTAGAACCAAAAATATAATAAAAACTCCTATAAAGGTCTTGATCTGTTAACCTAAAGAAAACCACACTTTACTGTCAAAAGAACTCACCTTTCAGTAGTGTTCAGCCATAAAGATGTGGAGTTTAGGGGATTGGCCAGACTGTGTTCCTGTTGTACAAAATAGTAGAAGTGTTCATGTTCAGGCAGGTACTGCACTTAGCCACCTTACACAGCAAGTAAGCTTCACTGACCCTTCCTCAACCATCTTTATCAATAAACTTTGTAAAAAAACCATAAATAAAATGGTTTTATACAGCTAAGGAACCAGATCTTGAACAGCCCACTGTGTGTGGTCACTATTGTGTTTTGGGCAAAATTTTGGGTTAGGGTATAGGTTTTACTCCATAGCCTGGAAACTAGTGTGAAGTTGGTTAAATTTGTGGGCAATTCAAATTCCAGATATTGCAAAGAGTACAAATCTCTATTCAAAATTTCAAAAAAAAAAAGAATGTTCTGAAAAGCTCTGTTTGTGAACCAACCCACCAAACATGTCTCCCTGACTAGCAGACTGGGTGTTAATATATATACAGTATATTTTTGAAGTAAATATGTTTTATGTGATTAGTAAAATACCAGTGTATTTCTCTAGCAGTTTTTTTAAGTCTGGATCCTCTCCAAACTTGGATGACACTTCAATCCTCTCAATGTTCAAATCCACAACAGAGTGAGAAAAAGTCAGTGTGAGATTGGAAAATTCTCTGAAGTCTGTCCCACTTTTAATCACATATTTTTCATTGACCTGAAAGTACAATTGGAAACTAGTTTCATCTTTATACTTCCATGCAAATGACTAGTACTTTTACATACTTTGTAAGTAATAACCCATTTCTTTTTCTTTACAATTAGTTTCATGAAATTGTATTGGTTATAATGCTTATAATATCATTTGAGTAACATTTGTAATTATAATTACACTAAGTAAGATTACATGGCATTGTTGTCTTAGTGTGTCAATTTAGGTCTACCCTAAATCTCTTAACTCTTTATACTCGTAATTTTTTGCACGTTCTGCTAGAAATATTTTCATGATGTCCTAATAACTATCACCACACCTTATAAAATTTCTGGGTCTATTTATAAAAGGTGGATAATAACATGGTTTGGATTAGTTTTCAGCCAAAGAGACATAAATGTTATTGGATGCTGTCACCGTCTATTGGGTAAATCGGGATTTTCGTCTGGATGCTGGCAGCATCCGCTCAGATTTAAGGAATTAAGATGGCCAAACCTTGTGAAATGAAGTTAATGCATTTGCAAATAAAATATTACTGATATAAAGCAAGGCTTCTTAGCTGATGGTTAAGTGCACTCTAATAATTATTATATGTTCTAGTACTCTAGTGTATTGATTTATAAAATTTAGTATTTCTAGCCAATTTGTTATACTAGATTATCTTCATTAATCTACATGTTATTTTGATTATTTTAGTTCTGATCTACAAAGTTCTCTTATATTTGACTAGGAGTTCTTAATAATATATGAATAAAAAGAAAAGTTTTTTCAATATCTAAAATTACAGTCCGTTCTCCATCTTACAACTTTTAAAGTAAGATCAACACATTTTATGAATTTTTTAATATCACCATAAAGATTGTCTCAAATGAAAAAAAAATGCCACTAGTTAAGATTATGCTGTGAGAAGTAAGATGAAAACAATATATACTGGAAGATTAACACAGAGGATGGAAAATCCATCATTGCCTCGTATTTACAAGCAGAATTTGGCCAGACTAAATGATTAAAATCACCACCAATCTGGCATTCAAGTATAATTGCTGTAAGCCTAGGAAACAAATGCCATCCTACACACAGTTCTTTCATGTAAAAGGCTTCACAGAAGATAAACAAATGTCAGCCTCTCAGTAACATAAACTACAAGTTGAGGTATCAATCCTTTTCCCAGGTTATGAACTTAAAAAATATGGGGGGGGGGGGGTAAATGCTGTGATAAATAAAACAAAAATACTAACTTTCACACAATATATTTATAGCATAACATATTACTACATCATTCATTATTACCTCACCCAGAGATTTGTACAAGCTTTTGGGAGAGAGCACACAAACATCTTATATATCTCAGAGAGTGTGCTAGCACTCTCTATGGAGGAATGAAATGAAAGAAGTCTGCCATTATTGCAATAATACATAAACTCAGATGAAGTTTGTGTTACAACAGCTACCATAATGCTGATATGAAGAGCCATAGTGAGTTCCTCCCCCCCCCCCCCCCCCACACTGTGTATGTTGTGTTATAAAAAATGTTTATTTTTTGTTTGGTGTAAGAACATGGTGCCAACTATGAACATAGTTAATATTAACTTACATCAAAGATAATAAACGCTCAATAACATCAATAATGGGGGTACAGGGGGTTGTGAACCCTTATTATCATGCCCTTTGTTCCAAACTATCATCCCACAAAGTTTGGTTAAGATTAGCCCATCGACTTAGGAATAGTTAGATAACAGACAAACACACAGATTTTTGTGCTACATATATATATTAAAAAGAATATAGCATAAGAAAAGTATAATAAAAAGACAACAAAACCAATATGAAATAATCACTAGTTTTACATAGTTCCAACCAGAATATATTACTATAATGGACATAGCATATATATATGTATCTAACTATGTATATGACCGAAATATAAATACAGTGAGGTTCCATATATTGAATGCACCATAAACAAAAATCCATAAAAGATTTCACACTTTGGGTATTCAAGATTCAGACAATTAGAAAAAAACTGGTATGTGCAACAACCATTTCCATATAATAGAACACAATTTTAAATAAAAGTACTCTATTCATAACAAGAACACGACTTTCACTAGGACTATATGTGAGGGTTTGATTAGATCTTTATTGATGTAATTTGTAAATAGAGTTCTTAAAAATAACTTATTTTTTTCAATTAAGGGTACCATTTTTAATATATAAAAAAATTACAGTTTTAATCAGCACAATCCAAACATTTTTCCTGTGCAACACTTCCTGGAAAAATCCTTTTTTAGAAAATGTTTACTTTTTTAAATTTTTTCAATGAGGTATGAATACTATAATTGGTAATTACTAGCACAAACAGCCACCCATAGGGCGGCATTTCTACTAGTAACAATAATTAATTTTTCATTTTAAAAACTTTAATCACAAATTAATGGGATGAGTGAATATTACAATTATTAGTCCCATTGAAGGAGTTTGTCTTCTAAAGTTTTGAAAACCTTGTAACGTTATAAATAATTTTGAGAAAAATTTGGATATTAAGAAATACAGTTCATAATAATATTCTACATTAAATATAAGCACAGTTGAAAAAAATATGGTTACACAGAAAAAGAATATATGATGTTGTGGATAAATATTCAGTCCCTAAATCAGACACCCAATTGATAGAGATGGTCATAATAACAAAAAGTTTTTCAGATCTAACTAATAAGCAACACTTATACTAAGGTCTTGCTAAGTAATTTGAGGTAACATAGTGCTTAAGTTGTAATAATTCATTTAGCTACAAATTGTACATGTGCTATAAGATGATATGAAATCATTTAAGAACAAAACTTGTTTTATACATAGTAATGAGAAATAAAAAAAATCACAACATTTGCCATAGCCATATGTAAATTAAATTTATGTTTAACCTCTCTTACTATAAATATACTGGATATTTGTACTGATACAGTTCTACAGCTCTTTAAGCTTGATATTCAAGTTCCTTACCTTTTTTACTTCATAATCGTGGTCATGACCTCCGAGGATAAGATCTATTTCATCAACATTTTCAGCAAGTCTACAATCATTGGGCCACCTCATGTGGGTAAGAGCAATGACGTAATCAACCTCCTCCTAAACAGTTGGGAAGTTATAGTTATTTACTTCAATAAACTTAAGAATTAGTGGTGTGGCTCTAACAAAAAGCTATCTCACTAACACTAACAGATTCTAAAATAGGTTTTTACACTGGCTTCAACAATGGGCTCTCATAATAGCCCTAACAACATGCTCTGTCAACAAGCTCTACCAATTATCTTTCACACAGACTCTACCAAGCTCTCACACTGATTCTAACAACAGATTATCACAATAGTTCTACCAACAAGCTCTCACACTGGCTCCTACTCTCATAATGATTCAGGTTCTTGCATTAGCTCTAGCAATAGGTTCTCAGACTGACTAACAATAGGCTCCATCACTTACTCCAACAATAGCTTTTCACAAAGTGTCTAACAACAAGCTCTACTAATAAGCTATAACAATAGGATCTCACACTGACCCTAACAATAAGCTTCCACAATGACTAACAATAGATTCCATCACTGACTAATAATAGGCTCCAACACTAATTCTAACAATAGGCTTTCACACTGATACTAACAATTAATAAACTCTCATACTGACTCTAAGAATAGGCTCTTACACTAATGCTAACAATTAATAAGCTCTCACACTTATTCTGACAATAGGTTCCAACACTGACTCTAACAATAGGGTCTCATGCTAACTCTAAGAGTTAATAAGCTCCCATGCTAACTCTAAGAACTAATAAGCTCTCACAGTAACTCTAACAATAGACTACAGTAATGATTCTAATAACAGAATCCAACACTGATTCTAACAATCAGCTTCAACACTGAACCTAAAAGTAGGCAGTTCCACTGACTCTAACAATAGGCTGTAATTTGAATCACTCTGAATTTGAACATGAAAGTAAAGAACTTACATTTTTGTTTTGTATCTTTAATTTTTTTATATTTAGAGTTTAATAAAAACTTATTAAGTTGTAGATTTGTTTTCCAGAATAAGAATGTCCATATAATCTTCACCATCATTGCAGCATTTTATTATACCATAAGATGTCATCTTGTCTTTTATTAATATTCTCAAAACAAACTTAAATACACAGTGTTGCAAAGGTAATTTTATTCACCACAGTGGTCACATTTGAGATGGATGAAAGCTGTGCTCTTTGTCATCTTCTTTTTTATTTTAAGAGCACATAAACCAGAAATTGAAGATCTTGTCCTTTTTTTTCATGAATCAGATTACTTGTTAAATATCCTTTTGTACAGTCCTACACATAGGATTAAAATGTTGGACATATATGTAATGGTAATATTGTCCCAAACCTTGAGACAAAATGTTTGCATTAGTAAATCTATATAATAGTTGAATTATATTCAAATATTAGTTACAACCTTACGTGTGCAATTAAAATGCAACATTCAAGAGTTTTATAATAAACAACTGCAACCCTTTGATTATCAACATGGGTACATTATCCATCCCCAGTTTTTTTAACTAGCTGAAAGAAAAATTTTAACCTTGTAACAGCAGAAATTCCACTCTTTCAGTAAAAACAACAACATAAAATGTGCTTTTTTATACTGTAAGTGCAGTTGTATCTACTTGCAATTTTTAAGACAGGTAAATAAAGGCCTTAAATTGACATGTGTTTTAGAGCTTCACTTCATAAAAGTATAAATAAACTTTGACCAGAAATGAGTAATTAACCTCATTACAGTATATTACATCACTGGTCATTCTTTTCCTCTCTCTCTCTTCGCCCGGCATGGCCAGGTGGTTAGGGCGCTCGACTCGCAATCTAAGGGTCGCGGGTTCGAATCCCCGTCCCACCAAACATGCTCGCCCTTTCAGCCATGGGGGCATTATAATGTGATGGTCAATCCCACTATTCGTTGGTAAAAGAATAGCCCAAGAGTTGGCGGTGGGTGGTGATGACTAGCTGCCTTCCCTCTAGTTTTACATTGCTCAATTATGGACAGCTAGCGCAGATAGCCCACGTGTAGCTTTGCGCGAAATTCAAAACAAACAAACAAACTCTCTCTTTCTTTTTTGTTTTGTTCATGAATATAGGTTGAATTAAAACTTTTCTAATATTTTACAGACAAAGACTTAATGTTATGTTATAATGGTCTGACAGGTTGCTGAACTATTCTTATGAATGAACTGCTGCAGACAAACCAGAAATTTATAGAAGCTATCATTATATCATAAGAAAAATAATTAAATTTTGGTGACAACATTACTTCTCTGAATCAATTTTCTCTTGTGGCGGTATTAAAAAATGTTTAAAAAGCTTACACAAATTATTTACTAAATAAAATGTAAGCAAAGCTCCAGATAGAAATAACTCCAAAAAGTATTAAAGTATATCAATAGTTGAATTTTTTTCAATGAAAAATTAGCTGTTATGTATATTTACCAAACTTTTATGTATACTTAAATTCCCAGTGGTTTATATTTATTTCAGTATATCTCCAAAAATCACATTCATTCATTAGAAAATTATGAATGTTTTTCTAAGAAAGTAAATCCTAGATAAAACAAAAAGTGACACGATACAAACCTTGTCCTTTAATTGACGAGCCAACCTGCGGCCTTCTGTTACAAAATCTGTGTAAGTAACATCATCTGGATCTATAGTAGCTAGCGTTGCTAACCATTCTTCTTCCACCAAACCAATCAACCCAAACTAGAATAACAGATACCAGCAAATAGAGATCATGTTTAAATTCCATAGAGAACTTTAGATCAAAACAGCATTCCATTTGTAATATTATGTTCCTATCTTTAATCTTACAAAAGTTATAATTTTCCTACACTGAAAATATATTTCTGACAGATACTTACTTCCACTCAACAACAACAATCAATAGGAGTGTGACACACCCTACAAACTCAACTGACTTCCTCTACACTGTACAGCACTATCATCAGTTCAAGATTACAAAAAAAAAGCACCAGAAGTGAGGAGGATGAGTGGGATGTGTGAGGACGGATACGTATCTATCAGAAATACATTTTCAGTGTAGCCAAATGTTAACTTCTAACACGATACTTTATCTCCTTTCACATAATAGTTAGAATCCCACACTGAAAGAATGGAGGGACCAGTGCAAAAGTTACCAAGATTAGCACTCTTTGGAAGGTGCCCACAGAGAACCCATGGAGTGCGATACCCTAATGTATGGGGTCGCACTCGTGGAAAACCACACCCTATCTGCACCAGGTATATTCTTTACCCATTGTAAAGATATCTGTCAATAAATCAGACTGAAAAGATGCACATGCAATCTGTAATTGGATGCAGCAGATGTTATAGAGTGGCTAAGGCATGTTAGACCATATTCGGTGGGTCAACTCCAATCCAAAATCAGGCAGCATTAGATATATGTACTCCAGTCCAGGGTAGGAGGAGGATTCCAACCATCTTCACATCAAGACCAGGAAGCAGAAGGGAAAAAATAACTTCCATTCTGACAACCCAGACAAGGCATATGTGTGCATACCCAGTACACAACAAACACCAGGCCACCCAGGAACCTGACATCTGGGCTGCAGTAGGAAGGAAAAATGTAAGCATGGTGGGTCAACTCCAATCCAAAGCCAAGCAATGTCTGGAATACTTTATCCTGACTACAGTAGAAGGAGGATCACTACCAACCACGTGTGAGGACTTATGTTGGTTGGTAATATGCTGATCCAACACTTGACCACCAAGAAAACGACTTCCAGGTGGTGGTAGGGTGGGGGACAGCCAGCTGGAAGGGTGAACTGCCAAAACCAGGCAGCATTGGGTATTTGCCTTCTGGTCTGCAGTAAGAGGAGAGTACTCACCTTTTACACCAACAGAACACCATTGCCCTACTCTCAACTGACTGGAATTGTTCACACCCTGGAGGAAGCCTCCATGGTCCACCACTCCAGCAGCTAGGAATTGGTAAGTGGCAAGGACTCCCTTACACCACTGGAAGAGGTGGGGAAACTGCAGTACAGAGTACAGAGGAATGCAACACTGTAAGACAGTGCAATGGATGACCACAGAAACCCTATTTTGAAAAGCAGACCAAACCTGGTTTATGCAACTAGAATCAGATGGATGGGAAGCAATCCCAACACTGCATTACTCATGATAGCCCATGAATTGGTTCGGTCTGGTGTGGGCCTTATTTATGCAGAAAAATACCATGAGGAACATTAGTAGTCTTTTGGAACACCCCACCTTTTCAGTGAGCATTATAGACTCATACAGCCATACAGATTTAAAGTTAAGTATATCTGGACAGGCACCACTTGCCACAGAGTGGGATCCAGTGAAGTAGAAAGGGGTAAGTGTAAAAGTAAGAGATAAAAAAGTAAAAACTTGCCCTTTTAGAGCCAATACAGGGTATGAACAAATCAAGAAATGATGATAGTGCTCAACAGTATAGAGAGAGTCAGCTGTGCTAGGAGGATGTGTTGCACTCCTATTAGTGGATGGTTGTCACATGCTCAATTGAATGGTACAGAGCAGCTATATCATGGGTAATCATATGAGGGTAGGTGGAAGCATCAAGGCCAATGGCGAGTAAAAATTGCACATATAAAAGGCAGCACAAATCAAGAAAAGCTATTATGTGAGGGGAGGTAAGGTATCGTGTAAGAATGCTAAAGTTATCAGCTCTGAGTTACATAAAACTCCATTAGTTAACACTCTATACAGAGAGCTGATAAAAGGCAAAACTGAACACTCAACTGGATTTCTTTACCTAAAATTAGCCTGGATTGTGTTTTACAAACTAACTGGCATCGCCCTTAAGTCCTTCTTAATAACCTAAGAAAATGAAGACTTGCAACATTCAAGATGCTAGAGTTAAATTAGCTAATTAATTAAACCCTCATTCCATCTTTATTAAACTAAGAAAACAGAAACTCACAACATTAAAGGTACTATAGTTAAATTAACTATTCAACTAAACCCTCATTCCATCATTAATAACCTTAGAAAATGGAGACTTGCAACATTTGAGATACTGTAGCTAAATTGGCTAATTAATTAAATCACCTAAATCTACATAAAATGATAAAGGCTAAGGTATACTTTTTATTAATTTTTTTTTGTTGTTGATTTACAACTATGCATGTTACCAAACATATTTTTGATAGTTTAAAGGTTAAATGAAGACCACTTCCTATATGTTTTTTTCTAATACAAGTACACATATATACCTAGCTAAAGATTCTGACAAAGTAAAGCCATGGGTTCAAAAACAAAGCAGTTTTTAATTTACTTCCAAAAAATTCTAATTTTTCATGATGGTGTGCCACCTTTACAAGTTTTAAGATTTTAAAATAATTTTCTTACTTAATATGCACTTGATTTACTTCATGCTACATGTCATCTACAGTTTTAACATTAAATGTGCTAAATGAAATTAAAAAAGAATCAAATACTATGGCCATTTCTAGCTTAAGAAGGTTTTTTAACATATAACTGGATTGTGAATGCATAATTTCATGGCATATGATCCAATCTACATTACTTGTGTCATTCTTGTTCACTTTGTCATACACTTATACATGCAATTCAACCAGCTTTACAAATACACACCAAGTACACATAGTCAAGTACATAGTCAAATTGAGGCTTGCTCCCTGAATTATCATTAGCATGTATAGTTTCTAAACAGAAAAAGGTTATTTTGATGTATCTGTGTGTCATATATCTGTTTATAGCCAGGTTGAGCCTTGATTCCTCAGTTGTCATTAACATGTACAGCTACTAAACAGAACACTATCAGCTTTGTGTATGTGTTCATATACTGATTAATCTTTGATTGCTCAGCTATCATTAGCACTTATAGTTACTAAATTGAACATAGTCATCCTTGTGTATCAGTGTTCATAGCCAGATTAAGCCTAAGTTATGATTGTGACTTTTCCAAAAGATTACCTGCTTATACTTCTGATACATATTTTATCTTCAATTCATAATTTTGTTTCAAGAAATGTTGTATGAATGAATTTAAGTTATTTGAGCTAACTTTATTTCTGTCAGAAATCATTTAAGTTTTATTGTTTAAAAATGTAAGATAGTCACCTGTCAATCCTAAAATAACTATTCCAGACATGCTAACAGTAAAAAGCCAAAAACTGAAAATTTGTTGAAGCTGAAAGTTGAGATGAAAAACCATTTGGCCAGATGCCCACCAAGGGTCCCAGAAGCTGAAGGATTTTAGACTATTTTGTGATGCATTCTCTGCTTTTTCTGGTTCCACATCTAATGTTTTTATTGTAATTATTATTTGTGTTAACATTACTTTTCCAGGTATTTTCTCAAAAGACTTACATTTCTCAGAAATGGCCTTGGACAGGCCATAAAATTCAGAAATCCACAGATCTACAGAAAATTATTAAGCCTGTCAGAGAGAACACTATCTACAAATACTGTAATCAAGCAAACTTTAGAAAAACAACATTTAATGTACATTTTATAGACACAAACATTTTTCAGTTATACTTACAGACATACAAGTCAACTTATGATTCTATTAAATGAATGTTTGCTTTTATTTTTGAGTAATATAATGAGTTGAATGTTCCTAGCAGTTAATCATTGTTTTTGAAACACATTATTTTTGCTCTCAAGTATGAAGAGTATTCTAATATATTTAACGAGTAATACTTCAAATTTAAATAAATGTATTTGTTCAAAAATACACACGAATTAGCAACCAAAGATTTTTATTCCTTTAAAGACTGAAGGTAAAATCTGATTTAGCAAGTACATACTGCTATAATAAATATATAAGTTAGTATTTAAATAATTTTTTCATAATATCACATACAATGCTGTTCTCTTGTAAAAAATAAATCTGAGTAAAAGCATTTTAGGTCAGAATGAAATTACAATAACCAATTAATTAATTAGATAAAATGCTTAAAATATTTTTGTGAACAGTAGCATATAAAATTAATAGCAATTAAAAAGGGAAGTTCAAACTTCTTTTATAGCTTTTGATTAGTAAATAATTCTCTTGTTCCCACCTTTTTTCCCCCTCTCTCGATGATAAAGGTAGTCTGGCCATCTGCCAAAGGCTGGTCAGTATCATTGTCAATCACATTACTAATTAGCCATGGAAAATTTGTCTGCTTCACAAAGTCGCTTAAATTATCTATGCCAAAATCTATAAAATATTTCCATTCAACAAAAAAAAAAGACACATTTCATAAAATTAGCTATACAACTTTATTTTGTTTCAAAATTTAAATATCTAAAAGCTTTTGTAACTAAATGATGCTGCAAAAAATAAAAATAAAATCAAGTTTTTAAATAAGTTTGTACAATTCTTAAATACAGAAGTATAAAAGTGTCTTGCCTAAGCAATATGGTTTTTAAATATTCAAATACTAAAATATAAAACTATTTTGGCTGAAAATGTAAAAATTAACAGTATGGATTTCTTGAAATACAGTAATTGTAAACAAAATGTTAGGATGAGGTAGGACCCTTATGGGATGATTAAGGAAGACTCATATCTGATGATTATGAGATGGCTGGGTAATTAAATTTTACTTATACTTCAGTTTTTACCAACAAACATTTAAGTAGTATTCCACTGATTGAACAGTTGATAGATGGAAACAAGATGCATTAATTCTGAGCTGGTTAAGAAAAAATTTGGAAGTTTAAAGAATGATAAGGCTCCTGGGCCAGATAATATTTCCCCAAGGGTTAAGAAGAAGGTTAAAGGTTGTGTTACTACAGCGGAAGTCTAAAAGGATCATGACTTATCAAGGAACCTCGCGAATGTCCGAGTGTTTGCCAGGTGCCCTCTTTTTTAGTATATACGCCTGGCAAATAAAGCCAGCAATAGATAGATATGCAGATAGATTGAAGATAGAGATAATTGAGTCAAGTGAACAGTAGGCACCATAAGTAAAGTGTGTGAATCACTGTGATTTATAGCATGTGTTATAAAGGTTGTTAAGTTTAAAGTGACTGTGGAAATTCTGTTGTATCGAGAAAGAATAAACTAGTTTTGATTAAGAAAGGACTTGTATCGCTAAAGTTCCTAGGAAAGAATTTATACTGGAAATTAACAAATGAGCAGATATGCAACTGTTGGATATGTGAACCACTTGCTTCTATTTTTTATCAGTCCTTGAATAGTGGGCATGTACAAGATTATTGGAAGTTAGCTAATTTAATTCCTCTTTTCAAGGGAGATAATAAAAACTGTCCCAGTAATTACAGGCCTATTAGTCTTACATCAGTTGTGGGAAAACTTTTGGAAAGTCCGATAAATGATGCTTTGCAAAGACATTTAACAAAGTTTAGAATTTTAATGGATAGTCAACATGCTTTCACTGAGGGAAAATCTTGCCTTACAAATCTTTTGATATTCTTTGAAAAGAAAGGTTACTGCCTATGTAGATGAGGGTAAGGGTGTAGATTTGGTGTATCTAGATTTTCAGAAAGCATTTGACAAGGTGCTAAATAAAAGGCTTGTAAAAATAATTATCTCTATAGGTGTGGGGGATAAGTTAGCAAATTGGATAGAAGAGTGTCTGAATAGAAGAAAGCAGTTTGTTACAAATGGAGTTCAGTCAAACTGGATTAATGTTACAAGTAGGGTACCTCAGGGCTTAGTCTTAGGACCTTTGCTCTTTTTTGATTTACACCAATGACATAGATGAAGGAATGGTCAATACATTACTTAAATCTGCAAATGATATTAAGGTCTTGGGTGTTGCTAGCTATGAAGAGGATGCTGCTGATTTACAAAAGGATTTAGATCATTAAGTGAGTTGAGCAAATAAATGTCAAATGGGTTTTAATTATAATAAATGCAAGATAATGCATGTGAGTTATCATAATTTGAATTATAAGTATCATTTGGATGGGAATAACCTTAGCAGTGTTATGAAAGAAAGGGATCTTGGTGTAATAGTTAATCAGTCTCTAAAGCC